AACTAGCCCGATGGATTTACGGCGTACCGGTGAAACGTAAGACCACGTCCTGTAGTATTGCGGTTAGTACAATTAATAGCACAACAGCTATTAACCATTTTATCTTAGAATCTAAATTATACGTACGGAATTTACACAATTATTCGAAAGTAGAAAATTTTCGCTTCTGCCTTGAATATGGCGCCACTTCCTGTTCCAAGGCAGCTTCACGACACTAGCGCCAGCTACCACTCTGGATATATATATTTCTTTACTCTGTGTTTTTTTGGTCTTCTAGATTTACTCCCAGTACACAGGGGGCGGTGGCGTCCACTTTGTGAATCACTGATCTATTTACAGTAGGCTTTCGATTTAATGCATCCGGATGTGCACTGTCTCAATCAGACATTTAGTTACGTGGTACAATTTTTTAACGTTATTTAATTAAAATAAGGTTTGGTTCCTGTCGTAAATTTATTTTAATATTCTTAACAGATGTATTAGTGGCGTGTATAAATTACACAATATACCGGTACATTATCATAACAGTTTATTTATACTTATAAATTTTAATAAATCCTGTGCATTGTAAGTTTGTTATTAATGTGTTTTTAAAATACATTTAATTTAATTTAATGGACTTTCGGCAACAGCAGACATCCCTTTCCCCAATTAGTCTGTTATATTGAAATCTTCTGTATATAAGGTTTGGGTCCTCAAACATTTCTCGACTTTTGAAAAACGAAGATAAATATATATATATATATTATATACATACTCTTCTCGAAACTATTTTTTCATAAATTTGTATCGGTTCCATAATGCGTTGTGGAATTACGAATTGTGGAATTGATCAATTCCTGATTTTATCTAACAAATAATTTCATGCGCGTTTTCTGTTTCGTGAACTATTTTATAAGATTTTCAACGTTATATCGAATCAATGTACCTGATTCAAACTCAGTATTTATCAACGTTACGATTGAGAAAACGTACAAACGGCCAAAAACACCGAATTCTCGATTACCCTTGTGCGGATAATCCATTCATCGTCATATCTTGCCCATCTTGTCCATGGACAACGTTATGAATGGGAAGTTGCATTAGACATCATCAGATAAAAAAAAATAACCTCTCAAGCTCATCTGACTTTCCAATCTACAAACGATATTTCAAAAATTTACTGATAGAATACACGTGAAAAATATCACATTTATACGCTACAAACAAGAGGTTTGAAAAAAAGTCCCGTTAGTTGTAAAATTAAAATACAGTAATTCGGAAAAAACTATATAAAATTTAAATTATTACTCGATATTTTTAAAAATATTTTTATGTTTTTTGAATTTTACATTGAATACATTTTAGCTTAGGAAAGTCGAGACTCTCACTTTAACATTGCGTTATAACGAAATTGTAATTCGTTTAAAATCACTAAATAGTTTATTTTTTTACAGATTATTTTAGATTATCCGTATTTTTCGGTTTTCCGTGCAACAATCAGGACGAATAATCGGGATTCGGTGTATATACAGGACCTCGGGATTCGTTCAAATGTTGCAAAAAATCCTGATCGAGTCAATACGAGCACTCGACCGTTAGAAAATCGAATCACAAGTGTTAGAGATGTTTATATCGTACAGAATACGAAGTAGTAGACTGTACTTTTTTCTTCAATTTTTTTTAAACTGTAGTACTCCTACCTTAAAAATTTTTCTTGCATCATTGCAACTTTTCTATGGAGAAGTATAGAGTGATTGTGCATTTAGTAATACCGAAAAGAAATGCCCTGTCGTTGTTCAGTACTACATTACACAAAACCATTGGTTTAGAAGTTACTAATAAAAGTATAATACATTGCAAACTATAGCAAAAAGATGTCAGCTGTAACGTGAAAAATCTGGGATCTTAAATAATTTACATAATTCAAAATATGATCATTATCAGAAAAAAGTGTTTGCAATTTGTAAGACATAACAAAACAGCATACTTTTCGTTTGTTTTATATTGTGATCGTAAGGCTCTGGGCTGGGATGAAAAACATTCTTTTAACCAAAAATCAAAACAAAAACAAACCTTGATCTTTGCAATTAATTAAAATTAACAAATAAAGTTATAATAATAATATCACTTTTAAAAATATATAATTTATCAATACATATAACAAAACATGCGTAAACTGGACCTGCACAGTACCGAGTATTTTTTTTTTTCGGTTTGGCATGTTTTGAACGGGTTTTTTTTAATACAGAAAATCGCTGGGTTCCGAAAAATTCTTCCCGTTTAGGCAGGTTTTCGTATAACTAAGGTTCTGTTTTAATTAGGTTTTACTGTTTTTCAGGGATATAAATATAAACCGAATTGTTACGAAAAATTTATAATGACAACTTTATTAAATACTTAAATCATGTATATTTTCATTTAATTTTAACAAAATGGATATTGGGTAGGGACTGAGAACGGATTAATTTACTTTCCTAACGAAAAAAATTTATTCGGATTTCGAACAACCTGCTAGAACTGATTAAATTCGAAGTACTGTACGTGATACTACTGTATTGTATTTATCTAATTAATTTATATATTAATTAACCGATTTTGGATACTGTATAGAATAGGCATGAAAAACTGCATTCTGATTACAAATAAAAGAACTAAATTTAGGAGAATTTGTTACATCACACTCGTTTTAATGTTTATGGCCTATCTCATCAGTCAGATCCGTGCGCGAGATTTTTAAAAGAATGTTAGTTTACTAATTCTCACAATATACTTACATAGAGTAATACAATAATTTACTGTACACTAAGGAAGAACTGAACAAGTACAAAATAAATATAAGTTTTATTATTATTATTATTATTAATTGTTTCTAAATGGGAACTGCTAAATATTCTATTGACATGTTGAGACCTATTGAATTATTGGCACTACGAGACCTATTAACTTTTTACAATGAGGCCAAGTAAATCTAAACTTCTACAAGCAAAATTGTGAGCAGGCTGTATAAAAGCTTTTCTCGTATCGAATCCGGTTCCCTGGCCATAGTTTGATTATGTCCTATATAAAATATTTTAGTAATTATCCAGGTTAATTCATTAGTATTAATAAGTCAAATTAGTGAATGTTGAAGTTCCATAATCCAAATCATTTATTTCCTCACAGCCATATTACTTATAATATAACGGATCAATTATAGACATTTCAGAGTTGTTCAAGCAAAAAAAAAAAA